TGCTCCCACGCACCCTGGGGACGATGTCTGGCACAGTGCTCTGCCCCAGATGTGTCCCCAAGAGCTTTGGAGGCAAGCATCGTTGTCATCTGCTCATGGGGGTGGCGGTGGGGGCGCCCAGGCCAGGTCCCGGGGAGGGGCGTCCTCCGAGGATGAACACAGGAGGCGGCCCCGTCAGCTTTGAGGACCAAGCGAGCGACGGGGCCTCTTGGGGGTCGGTTCTGTGGGGTGACAGAGACGGTTCCCTCCGTGGGCTCCGTGGGTTCCGTGGGCTTCATGAGGCGGCTGCAGAGGGCAGGCTGGGCCCAGGGGCGTCCAGGAAGCAGGTGCCCCTCCCCCCAGGGCCAGGCTGTGGTCGGCCTGCGTGTCCCCGCTGGGCAGGGCCATCCATCCCCAGTCTGTGGGGCCGGGGTCCACACACCGAGGTCCCGTCTTGAGCAACTCATCTCCCAAGGGGTCGTGGCAACCGCTTCCCCCTCTCCCCGTGGTCTCCTCTCTCCTCAGTGCAAGACGGTGGTGCCCACTCAAGGGTCATCATCAAATCAGCTGAGGACACTTTGGTTTGGGCCCACAGACCCCGAGGTGATTGCCAGACGGGCTCCCGCTGGGCGGGGGTCCGCAGGTAGAGCTGCTGGTCCCCTGAGGCTGGGCCTGCCCCGGACCTCTGCGCATGGTGTTTACAAATGTTTCTCCATCTGTAAAGTGGGCAGTTCGGCAGCGAGCAGGTGGTGCCCATGATGGGGCTGTGCCTTCAGGGCACTGAGCTCTCCATGCATTCACACACAGCGGTAAGAATAAACACACAGGGGGCGCCTGGGGGGCTCTGTCCGTTAGGCTTCCGACTGCGGCTCAGGCCATGATCTCGTGGTTTGTGACTTCGAGCCCCGTGTCGGGCTCTGTGCTGACAGCTCAGAGCCTGGAGCTGCTTTGGATTCTGTGTCTCCCTCTCTCTCTGCCCCTCCCCTGCTGTCCCTCTCTTTCTCAAAAATAAACATTAAAACATTTTTTAAAATATACTTTAAAGTTTTTTTTAAAAAAGAATAAACACACAGAAATGCTGGACACCCTTTGCCCTGTGACCCCCAAGGCACCTTCCCCAGTAGGACACGGCGCACTCCCTCAGGTGCGGGGTCTGACCCGTGGCCCCGTGCAGGTAACTCTGTAAGCCGGGGGTCCCCGCACGCTGCACCCCGGCCGAGGTACAGGCCCGCGGCCGCCCCAGCCCCTAAGGGCGCCTCGCCTGGTCCTCCGTTCGCCTCCCGCCGCCTCCCCTCCCGTGAGCGCCCATTTTTAGCAGGCCCTGGGGTCCCCTCGATGTGAAGTCAGTCTCCTCTGTAGGAACCTGTCTTCCTCCTCCTCCTCCTCCTCGGCCCCACAGTTTTCCAGGAGCAGGTGCACAGAAGCGGCAGAAGCGGCCGCCCTGCCTCGGTGGGCCGCCCTGCGCTGGCGGAGCCCGTGTGCTGGGGGCTGGGGGTGGCGGGTCTGCAGGGATGGAGCCGGGCCGCCGGGGCTGGGATCAGGAGGTGGTGCGAGCACCGGCCCCGGGGGCTGGTGCAGCCACGTCGGGGGTCCAGAGGCAGAAACCTCTGGGGCAAAGAAGGGGTGCTCCGGAGGGCAGCGAGCCCAGGGACACTTGTCCAAGGCAGCGGGGGTGGCGGGGGGAGCTGGTCCTGGATGGCGCGCGGGCAGGGTTCTCCACAGTCCCTCGCGGGGCCCACCGGCAGCGGGCAGTGTCATGGTTCCCAAGATGACAGTGACGCCACAGGCCAGCATCAGCATGTCCTTCGGGACCCCCGCGGGGGCGCCGAGGGGCAGCCCAAGTCCCATTCCTCAGCCTCGAAGGAGGAAGGGCAAGGTGCCCCCGCCTTGGGCCGCACGGGGAGGCTCCCATGCGGAGGGCACGGGGAGGCGGAGGCCGGCCCTGGTGGCTCGCTCCCCTGCCCCGTACACACACCCCGGCTGAGCCCCCGGCCTCGGCCCCGCCAGCCCCCACGTGGTGCAGCAACCCCCCCGGAGGGACCTGGGGTTTCAGGGCTTCTCTTGAAAACACAATAGGGGGGACCTGGGGCAAACTGTGTGCAGACCCCGAGAAGGTCCCTTGCGCCGCCAGCCGAGCTCAGGGCTCCAGTTCACCCGTCTCCTCCAGGTCAGGGGCTGGAGCTGCGGGAGGGGCCGGCGGTCTGCTGCGGGGGGCCCTCGGGGACAGCCTGGGGGGGACTGGCTGGCTGAGCACAGTCCTGATTTGGGGCCGTCTCTCTCTCTCTCTCCAGACCCTGACATCCTGGCTCCGTTAGAATGTTTAGATGAGGCGGATCCGGGATTATTTGCTACCATCAGGGCAGGAGAGGGCACAAGCCTCCTGTCGCGGGGCTGGAAGGGACGGAGCCATAAGCAGCGGGCTCAGGGTGGGCCGCGGGGCGGCCCGGGGCTGAGGACCTGGTGACTCCCAGCCCGTGGCGTCCAGACCCAGGGAGCAGCGAGGTTTCACTTCTCTGACCCGTTTGGGGAGACCGAATGTCCGTAGGTCGTGCACCTAGCGGCATGTGACTGGCCTCCTGACGGGGCTGCAGCATCAGCTTCCCCAGAGCTCGGTGACCTGGCCGGGACCGTGGCCGGCTGCGGGTGCCCCGTGGCGGCCGTGGCTCAGGACGGCTCGCTGGCTCACCGGCTCCAGCCTCCTACCACTCCCCTCCCCTCGCTGCTTTTATTATCTGGGTCGGTCTCCCAAAATAATTTTTAGGAATGACGGACCCTGTCGTGAACCCTTAGCCCGAAATCACCGCAAAACCCAAATAAAGGACCTCGGCTCTCCCAGCGAGTAAACAACACGGGCGGCACAGCCTATATTTCCAAAGTCATAAAAAGCTCATGTTCTTGGCTCTGCATCCTGACTTTCGAGAGAGGGCTGGCTGGAATGTGCTGGCCGTCTCGCAGGCCCGGGTGGCAGGAGCGGGGGGGGGGGGGGGGGGGGGGGAAAATGCCGCCCAGTCCCGGGAAGTGCCGCCCTGCCCAGGGCCGAGGGCTGGGGAAGGAGGCTCTTTTGACCCAGCCTCTCCAGTGCTGGTTGCACGTCGTGGACCCTGCAGAGCTGGGCAATCTTTGCTGGTCGTTCCGGAAGCTTCCGGGCACCCCAAGCAGCTTGCTGCTTTCTCCAGGGCCTGGTGGCCGTTTGCTGCCCCGTTTTCTCCAAATGTCTCCTGTGCACTGATGAGGTCTCCTCACTCCACCTGTGAAAGAAGAGCTCTCCCATCCAACAGCGGGGGCCACGGCCGGGAGACCCGGCTTCTCCAAGCAGCTTCAGTCAATCACTTAACCCCTGTGCCCGCCGGGGGGTGGGAAGCCAGCCGTGTGCTGCCTGCCTTTAATCAGCAGGAAACACCACCTTTCTCTCCTAAACTGTTTGCTCGGCCAGTAAATTAAACATGCCCTTAAAGCCCTGATTTTCCTCCAGTGGGTGAGGAGGTTTGGGAAGTGGAATTCAAACAGGACAAAAAAAAAAAAAAAAGGAAAAAAGCCAAACAAGAGCCCTGAGCTGAATCTGCACAGGGTGGGGACCCCTCCCCACGCTCTGCTCGGGCAGATCCCGTTTGTCCTGAGAGGCAAGGACACGGCCCCCCCAGGGTGAGAAAGCGCGGGGGGGGGCTCCAACCTGATTTTGTTTGTGAGCCTCGTGCACTTACCAGTCCCAGATAATGAGGTGGCGTGTTAATTACCCCCCCTGTAATTTACCTTTCTGCTGCGAGGGTCGCCGGGAAGGTTTATGGGGGGGGCTCCTTTCAAACCTAACGACTCGATCTTCCCGGCGGAGGGAGCCGCAGCTGCCGGCCTGTTGTTGCGTTTTTGAAAGGAGCCCATGAGTCAATTAGAAGGAACCGTTGGCCACTTAAGACGTAATAATTACTTCTGTGAATGCTGCTAAATTAAATAAGTATTATCCCCGTGATTTTCTTTCTTTCAAGACTTTGGTTTCTTTTGAAAGAAAACATTTTCTTACTTCTCGAGCGGATCTGTTTGCAGCAGCGTGAGGACCCTGAAGTCCCCGTCCCCCCGCACCCTCCCCCAACCCTCGGGGGACTCCTGCTCCAGCAGCGGACGGGGGCGGGGCGGGGAGGGGCGTCGAGGTGAGGGTCATCCAGGCAGAGGCGGCAGGTGGGAGGTTGGCGGTGCCCTCGCCCCTCAGCCTTCCTCTGACCCTGGTTCCGTGCGGACGCACACATCCGCCATCTGAACGCCAACATTTGTTTGGCTCAGTCACAAAGGTGTGTGACTCCACCTCCCTCTCGCTCCAGGGCATTTTCTCGCCCCCCCGCCCCCCGCCCCGAGCCTGGCGCCAGCCTTCAGCCCCTCCTGGCCCCCTCCCAGCCCCCAGCAACCAGTTATGAGTTCTGTTTCTATGGATTTGCCTTTTCTGGACCCTTCCACAAGCGGATCGTGTCGATCACGCTGTGTGTGATCGCCTTCGCCGCGGGGCACGTCTGTGGGGTGGGGGTCAGCCTTCATTCCTCGCATGTCTGAGTCATATTCCTCTGCATGGATGGACATGTCCGTTTGTCTGTTTGCCTGAGGACGGACACAGGGCACCTGGTGGCCTTGGGGACTCTCGTATGCTGCTGTGGCCACCGGGCTGTCTGGGTCCTCCTTTCCCGTTGGATGAGCAGAGCCTCTGTCCTGATTGGCCCGCCCCTCCCTTGGCCTACTTCTCACCGTGTCCTCTGTGCCTCAGGCCTGCTGTCTGTCCAGGTGCCTAAATCTTGGCACCAACCGTCTCTTAGGATGGACCCCAAAGGGAGGCCTGGGTCAGACGGGCGGACCCCCGGACCGCAGCCCTGCAAGCCGCACATTCGTGGCCTCGGCAGACCTCTGTCCTAACTGGCCCCAAGGTCGCCAGGAGCTCAGGTGCCCAGAGCTATGCAGGCGTTGGGGCAAATTTCATAATCCAAATCCCAAGCCCCTGAGACATGTCTCCGACCCCGAATTTCCAAGGCCACACACCAACCGGAATGGTCTGGAACGAACAGCCATTCCCAGCCCCGGGTAGGGTGCCCTCTGTGATGGCTTTCCCCACTGCTCCCAGACCAGTGAGCAGAGGGGCCACGCGGACGCGCACAGCTCTGCTTGCCGAGCGGGGTCTGAACCCTGTTCCAAAGGACCCCCTGGGAGCCGCGTGCCTGGAGCGAGGGCCGCTTTGTTCCGGGCGGGGCAGAGCGGACGTGCCCTGGGCAGGGGTGGTGGCGGCCTCTGGCGCCCTCAGCCCCCATCGCGCCCCGTGTCCCAGGTGCACCCCCAGAGGGCCCCGCACTGGGGAGGCCGTGCCGCAGAGCCTGACGTTTGCATTGTCTCCTTCAGGTGACGGCGACATTGTAAATAACATGCATGAACCTGACCCAGACCTGCTGGCTGGCGAGAGCGCGGAGTACGAGACCGAGGACAGCGTTGTGTCCCCCATCCCCATGGGGCCGCCGTCCCCCTTCCCCACCAGCGAGGACTTCACCCCCAAGGAGGGCTCGCCGTACGAGGCCCCCGTCTACATTCCTGAGGACATTCCCATCCCGCCAGACTTTGAGCTCCGAGAGTCCTCCATCCCGGGGGCCGGCCTGGGGGTCTGGGCCAGGAAGAGGATGGAGGTCGGGGAGAGGTTTGGCCCGTACATGGCGGCACCGCGGGCCACGCTGAAGGAGGCCGACTTCGGATGGGAGGTGAGCATTCCCGTGTGAGCGTGATTGATCACGGCCATTTATCTTGTGTTCAATCTATTTATAAAGCCGGGCTGAGCAGTGCTGCCCGAGGCGGGAGGCTCGGCCGGAGAGAGCGCTCGAATGTCACATTTCCCAGGCTTATTTGGTCCTGCAGCTCGCATGACGCGAGTCCGCAAACATCAGGGGCCCTGGTGGGCGCCTGTCAGCCCCCAGCCGCCGTGCCTGCTCTCTTCCCGGAAATGTGTCCTTAATGAGCTCATGTCTTAAAACACCCCGTGCTCCCCGTCTGGATCTGAGGTGCTGAGGCCACGGTCTCTGCAGAGCTGTGCAGATTGATGGAATGTCCCAGAACAGGAGTCTCCACCCTGGGGAACGTGGGGCAGCTCGTAAATCCTGCCTGGTGGCTGTGCTGCCCCCAGACGGCCCTGCACATCAACCCCACCCCCCGCCCGCCGTGCCCTGCTCAGCCGGGGCCCCCACCTCTCGGGCAGCGTGGGGTGCCAGGCTCGTCGGGCCAGGGAGGAGCATCTGCGGATTCGAGGTCCCTCACAGTCTGGGCCCGGCTTGATGGTTCTGGAGCCCGTGCGCAGGCAGGAGAGGGAGACCGTTAGGTGAGGGGCGCTCATGACCCCCAAAACGGTGCTCCCCCTGCAAATATCTTAGGCCAGGAGGGACGCCGGGCCCCAAATCGGGGTCTCTCAAGGTGGTCTTCGTGGGGACCGCGAGCCCCACAAAAGCGTTCTCGGCGGTGGCCCTGGCTGACGCGCGATGGTGTTTTTGGCAGAGACCCTGCCTGGGTGGAAAATGCAGATGTAAACCCAGACTCCTTCCGGCTGTTTCACAGTTTCCCAAAGTGCTTGCTGGAGGTCAGCTCTAGGAAGGGGCGGATAGTCCAAGGGGGAGAAGAGGGCCCTGCGTGGGGGGGCCCGGGGGAGCGAGGGGCCAGGGGAGGCCGTGCTCCCCACCTCTCGGTGCCTCTGGGAAGAGTCCCCAACGTGCAGTGCTTCGTGGCGATGTCGAGGCAGGGAGGGGCTCAGCTCCCTATTTGCTCTCACTCTGGAGGCTTTGCGGTTTCTAAACATTGCCCGTTGTGCCTCCATTTCTCCTGGAGACCTGCGGTGCCCAGGTGCCCTGACCCCCAGCCTGCGAGCGCCCCGGCACGCCCAGGAGGCTGGGCACACTGATGCCCGGGGTGGTCCGGGCCGGGGGGGGCTGCCCACAGCCCGGCAGGAGTGAGGTCTTCACTCCCTTTCCCCCGACTGTCCAGCAGGCGGCACGTGGGGCGTGGACACCGGGGTCGCGGGGTGCCAGCTGCAGGCCCCGAGCTCTGTGGAGGGCTTTGCGGGCTCAGGCAAGCAGCGGGCGGGAAGGCCGGAGCCCCTGGGCGGGAGCCTATCCGTGCCCTGTGGACGGGTGTGTGCTCCTCAAGGTCGGGGTCACCTGAGGTGCTGGGAGCAGGTGGGGTGAGCAGCGAAGGGGCTTGAAGGTCGCTCTGTAGGTGTGCTGCTCTCGCGTGGCTCCTGGGGTCGCCCCTCATGGGACCAAGGAAAGCCTTTTCCAGCCACGTGGCAGGTAAGTGGTTTTGGCTTCGGTGGGGGGGCCTCTCGCTGACCCGGCCTTTCCCGTCCTTGCCGCCCGCCTCCCGGTGTCTGACATGCTCGGAAAGGTCCGGACTGTTGAACAAGGCCAGAGGTTTGCCCGACAGGAAGGGCTTCGGCTGACCTTGAGGCAACCTTGCTCTCGTCTGCTCCCATACGCGTTTCTGTTTGCTCTTTCTCTAAAGAAACGGCCCATATCGCGTGTGCTCGCTCGGTGCCAGGCTGGAGCCGCTGTCACCGATCTGCCCGGTGCCTGTTGACTTTGCGATAGCGTTAGTGCTCCGGGACGTGAGGGAACGTTCTCCCTCCAGGGCGCGCCCCCCTGCTTCGCAGCGGGCTTTGTTCCGTGCCCGCGACCTGACAGCTGCCTTTCATGCCAGCACTTAGGACTGTTTGCGCACAGCCCGGGTCCTCAAACAGCGCTCAGATGCGCCCGGCGTTATCGCGGCTGACCGTGCGCTCCCCGCGAGCCCGGGACCCGTCTGGGGGCAGGTGGCCTGTCACACGGGGTCCCGGCCATGCTTGTGTTGTCCTTGTGACTCAGGACCGACAGGGGACCTGGGTGGGAAGGCTCCGTCTCCCCCAGTGCAGGAGAGAAGAGAGGAGGAGGCGGGTACTCCGGAAACTCGGGGAAAACCCACTTTTCCCTGAAATACATAAGGTCCAGGTGGTTTCCTTCTAGCCCGAAAACCAGTGTAACCACGGCACCCTTGCTGGATTCCCCACCGTCACCTGCAAACAGATTATTATTGCCCTTTGGCGCTGTCCTGTGCCCTCCGCTGGCAGGACGCCCGGCCTGGGTGTCGGTCACAGCTACCCCGGCCTTGCCTGGGCAAACGGGGCCTGAGCCCGGGTCTTTCTGTGGCTCCGGACAGGAGAGGGGCCTCCGGGGAGCTCTGGGGCATGGTCGCTCACAAGGCACTCTGACCGCGAAGACGCCCTCCGCGGGCCCGCTGGTTACAGCCAGGACTGTCCCCAGCACGTCCCCGAGGCAGCACACCAGGGCATGTCATTCTGCGGCCCCCGGTTTCAGCCGCGTAACGGTTCGCTCTCACGCCAGTAATTACGTATCACGGACCCGGGCGATTTGATTTCACTGCAGTTTACACGGGACTCATTTACTGAGGAAGAAGCAGCAATGACAAAGGAAGGAGGTTTAGCAAAGACAAGGAAGGAGGTTCGCAGAATCGGGGCACGGTCTGTACCCGCGGGGGGTGGGAGCATGGCTGGGTCAGGTCCCGCACGGGAGGGGGGGCCAGAGGGACCCGGACGCTGGGCAGACGTCTGCTGGAGGACTGGTTTGCAATCAAGGTCACATTGGACATTCTTACTGTCGTTTTGAGGCACGAATGTTCTTTCCACTCTGAGAACAGCATTCTTCTTCCGGACCATTCCTTGGAAATCTCTTTTTTGTGATGGACGTGGTGCCCGGCTACTGCGTAGATTCTGGTGATGTGACCCCTTTGGCAAGAGCGTGTCTCCGGCCCCCGGGGCACCGTGGGTGACCTACGTGTGACCTCCAGGCTCCAGGTCATGGGGGCAGTAAGGGGCATGCGTGCGGAGGCCCCCCCGACTGCTCATGGTACCTCCCCCTCCCACACACTCATTGGACAGTCAGTGACTCGACCTCCCTTTGTGGTGCTTTGGGGCAGAGCCGGGAGTGACCCCCACGTCAGGCGTGTCCCTGCAGCCTAGCCCTGTGTCCAGATGGGAGTGGGGGTGCGTGGGAACGGCCCCCAGGACCCATCTCAGAGGGCCATGGTCTGTCCCCCTGCCTGGGAAGGAGCCCCAACCCCGGGCCCCCTCCGCCCAGACGCAGCCTGCCGGCTGATGCAGCCACAGCTCACTCTGCCCAGAATAAATCACCCTGTGATTGCATTTGATTGCCCTGGGGTCTGAAAAAACAATGATTTTGATCATTTGTTGAGTAAATCATGACATTTATCATCGTGGGGCATATTTTGCTAATGAAGAGCTAGCTGCGAGTGACGGCCAGAGGGAGCGGGCTCCTTGGACGTGCCACCTGCCCTGGGCAGGGTCTGCCGCCGGTGGGGGCGCCGTGCTGGACCCCAGGGGAGGCAGGAGCAGTCTCGCCCTGACGCCGCCCGTGCTCAGCTCGTCTCCTCGAGAGCCCGTCCCCCCTGGAAAGCCAGCTGAGGGCAGCCTCCCTGGTGCCCGAGTGTTGCCTCGCCCGAGATGGGCACTTGAACATCAGCTGTGGAATAAATGTGTCTGCCTCTGTGTAAGCAGCTGGGGGAAACGGTTAATGTGAATTGATGGGGTTTCATTTATCTGAAGAATTCACTCAAGTGGATTACCTCACCCCTTGGCTTTCCTTTCTGAATATGAATGTACATGCTCATTTGTTCAATCAACAAACAGGCTGTGTCTGGGCCGGGGTCACATGGGAGGCTCTGGGGTCACAGGGGAAAACGGCCCCGAGGCCTCAGGCTGCCCTGGTTCTCCAACGCCTCAATCACACAGCCCCCAGGCCCACTCCCCTGGGGTCCCCGGGGGCCTGCTGGCAGGCTCTGCTTAGGGCCAGGACCCTCCGGCTGGGACGCACCCAGAGACGCCAGGCTGGGCAGGGGGAAGGAGCCGCGGGCAAAAGCTACCACCCGGCCCTGCGCTCTCAGATGCTGAGAGATTTCTGTGCATTTAAGATCACATTATGATCCGGAACACGCGGCCTTGGACAAGGGCCCAGGGTGCAGCGGAAGCAGACTCCCTGGGTGTCCGTGCCTGTCCACCTACGTGTAGTTTTAGAAAAGCAATGCTTTCTTTTCCAAGGTAGCCGCTAGCATCCTTAAAATGACAAGAAATTCGGAGGTCTCATCGTGGTCTGCAGTGTGGGCTGCCCCGGGGCACTGGCTGCCCGCTGCGGAGGCCGGTCAGCCTCTCGCACCTCCCGATGCAAGTCTCGGAGGGGCCTTCGGAGGTGCAGCGGCACACACCTGAGAGTGCGGCGCCGAGGACTGGCTTCTTCAAGGACCCACGAGGCTTTCCCAGGCCCAGACCTGAGGCCAAGAGTCAGGCCTGGCTGGGCGTGCACCCCAGGGGTGCAGCCACACGGCCCCTAACCTGCGGCTTGGTCTCCTCCTCAGATCCAGGGTCTCTGCAGGGACCCTCTTTTCCTTTCCCATCATTCACCCTCACCTCAAACACCTCTGCCTCTTTCCTCCACATCCAGATGTTAGCCCAGGCTCACCCTGTGTGGTCATGTGAGTGTGCACCTGCACACAATTGTGCACACACGTACACATGTGCACACACGCACGCACACACATATGTGTGCACACACATGAACACGTGCACACACATACATGCAGACATGGACATGTGCACACATGCAAGCACGCACACACGGACATGTACACGCACACATACATGCACATACATGCA